TGGGTTCCATGAAAGATATTCACACACTTAATTCTGACGTGCAGGGTCTCAGACTACATGTGACAGAAAACCAAGACAAAAAAACAACAACAACAACAAATCACACTCCACTCCAGCTGTACCTGATAGTCCACCAAGAGCTCAGGCCCTTTAAAGTAGCGCGAGGCCACTCTGACGTTGTACTCCTGTCCCGGGTGGTAAAACTCAGCCAGGCCCCAGTCAATAAGGCGCAACTTAAGACAAAGAAAATAAGCAGTTAGGATCTAAAAACAGAACATGCAGACATTTTTCTCACACCTTAGTTAAATGACGTTTACTTGTTGTTAATGAATGACTGAGTTCAACCACAGAATGTTGAACAAGAACAGAAGGAAACAAGTAGAGACACAAGACCCAAACAGAAAACTACGCAACAACAATTACGATAAAACCCTCATTAATAGTTTGACCAGAAGCTAAGGTTGTGTTTTTTTTCACTCACCTTGCGGTGCTCATGATCAATCATCACGTTATGTGGCTTTACATCTCTATGCATGATCCCCATGCTGTGACAGTAATCCAGGGCCTGCAGACAAGGTCATCTTTGTTACTTATTGCTCAAAGTTTGTCTTCCCAGAAATGTCAAAACAGCAGCAGATAAAAATAAATCATAATCCGTCTATGCAACACACGTAATGTTTAATGCCAAAACAGCGTCCTGTGTAGGACTGTGTAAATACCCAGGCATGTTCAAAATCCAATTTAAATAAAAGAACTATTTCCTAGGGAAGTCAGTCTTGTTTAAAGACTTCATACTTCCCCGTTTCAGGATATTTAAAAGGTTACATATTACAAAGCGTGCAGCAGCTGGACCACAGAGGACTCACCTTGAGGATCTCATACATGTAGAACCGGATGTCATAGTCGGTCAGGGTCTGGTACAGTTGCTGGAGACAAAAACAGAAAGTGTCACTAGATGTTCTACGGCAACGTCCAACAGCAAGCAGAAAGTCAACACTACAGCAGACAGACATTATAGTATTTTTTCTCTTTAGGACTGTGCCAGTGATTGAGGATAGAACCAGAAGACGGTTGACTTTCTGGCACCGAAGACATAGCACTGGACTTTAATATTCCTCCATCACATACACACACGTGTACTGGAAAACATCGAGTATGCCAAGAAAGGAGGCTTCCAAACACTTACACAACAGCATTTTATTGAGTAAAAACCATGTTCAGTTCCTACCTTGAAGTCTGTGTTGTTAACATGTTCAAAGACCAAGGCAGGTGTCCGGGACTGAAAAATAAAAGGGTGTGTATTTGATGTACTGAAGCTGCAAACAGAAATATCTACTAAAAAAACACACAGTCGGATCCACCTATTTGTTCCAAACAGCAACACTATAGTAAGCTGAGGCACTACAGGAATCTGTGCTGATATTACGGGCAGACACACTGTGAGGAACACTATGGACGAGTCCCAGCATGTTTAACTCCATTCATTCCCAGGTGAGCAACTAGCAGAAGAATGGCCAACAGACCACAGTTGTCAACAACCAAATTAAATGTCAACACACTTACTTGATGCCTACAACATGAATTGAGCTGCAACTTACCCGTCAACTTTCACTATTTATCTATCAACTGTTCTATACTGTATTAATCAGCCTTTAAAATCAAAAGTTCCAGAGTGTAAGTGAGTCCTAAAGCTGCATCATGTGAACAATGAAAGGCTATTTTATTTGCAATGATGAAAACAGGAAAAAAAACAAAAAAACAAGTCGACTTGACTTGTCGGTCATCAACACTCAGACGTGTGTCTTACATCAGGTGACAAATCTACTAATCAGGGATAACTGGCAAGGGTGGTTCCTAAAACAGGGCTCTCCCCAGGACTGTGATGCAAGTAGGGAAAGGAGCAAATACAAAGGATAGAACTAACGATTATTATAATTATGTCCAAGTCCGTTCACTAGTTCCTTCAACTTATGGTTTCATGCAAAAATGACCAAGAATCTGAAAGTGAACAAGAGTCACTCAGTTACTGACTGTTTCCTTTTAAAGCAAAAATAAATAACCATCTAATAATCAGTCAAATCTGTCTCCTTTTCTGAGCCTGCATGGCTCTTTTTCTATTACTTTACTGAGTCATTCAAACACGAGTGAAGCAGGAGTATAAACAAGTTTTTTGTTGTTTTGTTTTTAGATCTATCACTCGTCTAGTCTGCCTAATGTTTCCTAAAATGTGTTGAAAACTCAAACAGGAAAGCACACAAAGAACTTTCAGGTCCTGAGTTAAGTTCCTCTGGTTCAACACATTCCTGAAGTTTGCTGATTAACAAGAGACATTATCTCTGCTGGGCTGCTCTTGATAAGCACGAAGCAAATATGTACTGGATATATTCTATTAAAACAATCTGCTGCTGACCTGAGTCTGCTAAATCCTGATAATTGTGACAATGTTCTTACTTTTACAGTCTTAAAGCATATCACTAGCTTGGAAAAGCAACTTCATTTTCAGCCCAGTGTCGACTATTTACAGGACTACAAAGGCACAGCTGCATTGCGTTGTTTCATTCTTTGGAGAGAGCCCTGACACTACATATTAATACCGCATAAGTGCTTACATTCATCTATCTAGCCATAGTTGGGTAAGTACTTACAGACACATATCTCCCAAGCCCAAGTGAAACCGATAAGCTGCCACAGATCGTAGGCTCACCACGCTATTGGTACAGTTGTGATATTTAGGAATTACAAACTACAGCTCATCTTTTTTTAGAAAAAAGTAAATCATATCATCAGGAAACACCAACAACATATAACTAAAATATAGCTCCTGGTGCACTCATGACCAAAGAATAAAATGTTCCTGCATATCAATGTATGATACTTACAACAGGGTCTTTGACAATATCGATGAGTGAGATTATGTTCGGACCGCCGCGAAGGTTTTCCAAAATCTTGATCTCACGCTTGATTTTCTTTTTCTTCACGGGCTAAATGGAAAATAACAAAACAGACTTAGTCGAATGGGATTAAAAACAGGACATATAATCTTTGAATTAAATGTACAGCCCAGATCTAGGGTTCTGTCTTTGTATAGATTTACCTTGAGTATCTTCACCACCACCTTCTCATTATTGGTAATGTTGATTGCCTCAAAGACTTCACTATACTTGCCACGCCCTAACTTCCGCACCAACTGAAAATCGTCCTGGTTCCTGTAAAGACAAATCCCAACCAAACATCAGCTGGCTTAAAAATTTACCAGGCAGCTTGCTAAAAATCTTGTGTGAGAGTCAACAGGTACTTACCCCCATTCAACCACATGGGACTCATAGTCCCAGTACTCCCTTGGCCGGTGAGTGTTGACCTCGGTGTACACTCTGGCCCGGCTCGGCACGGGTCCTGACATGTCCGACAGCTTGGCAGGGATAATGAGGAGGTCTTACTGCAGTGGAGGATGCTTGGAGTCCGGGGACGATGGGTAGAAGGGAGGGAGGAAGAGGAGGGAAGGTAAGGGGTGAGGGGGTTGATCCCAACAGGGAAAGGGGTTTGGGGGAGGCTTTGCCTGAGGACGGGGGGAGGGGCCACCAGGGGCACGGTGGGATAGCTGTTAAAACAAACAAACAAACAAACAAAAACAATGGGACAGAAAATTAATATTTAGAGAAACTGAAATCCTGATTCACACTTCAGCATCACAGTGTTGCAGTCTCTACATTACAATCATCCACAATATCTGCAGCAGTATGAAACAGAAAAAAGCCGCAGATCCTCACACCAGTGAATGTTTGGGACTTGTCTCTTAATTATGTGACTCATTACATTTACTCTTCATATGACAGCAAAACCATTTGTTGACAGTGAAAACAACACTGAGGTGGCACACAGCATAGAGCTGAACAATGTGGGGAAAATATCCAATAGCAGTTTTTCTGAAAGATACTGGGATTTGATTTGTGGTACTTTTTTTTCTTCAAATCTTCTCTTACACACTGAGTAAGAGAAGTAAAACACGTGGGGGAGCATTATTATAAAAGATGCCATCAAAAGGTTGACTCTTGCACAAGGAGAACGGTATGAATTTGTCACACAAAGCATGAGGTGTGGCTCCTAAGCTATGAGAGAGGGGGCTAATGACAGCTGACAGTTGCATTCCTGAGCCATACGCTGAACAATGGGCATACACAACTCCTGATAGTATTAGAATTAAATTAAATTGAATTTCAGCTGTAGTCTCATTACTTATTATCCACACCTTCTACATCCTAAATTGCAGCCTTTCTGATTTGCTAATTCAACTGTCTCAACTTGCAATTTCAATCGATTACTTGTTCAGCTCTGCTCTAATATAGCACAAACGACTAGGTGGTTGATCAAGGGCCAGTACACTTCATCAGAAGTGCTTGCGAGTTGGTCAAATAGCTTTGGTCAAGAACTAAGATGGAGCATGAGGCTCAGACCTCACTGCCTACCTCTACCTGTGTGTGGTGGCTTTTACTGCACTATTGCAGGTCACACGTGCTGTCAACACAGACATCACTGGTGCAGCAGCAATGCTCCTGCCAGCCCAATAACTCCACATTGAGTTTGTGTTTGACAAACACAATTTTATAAAAGCCCTGTAAAACAAATTATGAGAGTTTGTCCACAGGAGCATTTTTGTAGTGGATGACAATGTGATTTTTTTCCCCCATGCCTGCAACATATTCTACAGATATAGATGTTGAAACTGCAGTGACAGGTGTAATGCTGCTGGTGTGATCAACAGATCTGTTCACCGTCTATTTTTATTGAGAACTGCATGCCTCACATGTGAAAAATAACCTCCACACCAAAACTGCAAATGAAACACCACCGCGAAGCTGGCGCTGCAGGTTTTCTATGTGAGATGCTCCACATTAATATGGGCACTGAAATGAAAAGCAACAAGTGCTGCAACTATCTGACACAGGTGTGGTTATCAGTCTTGCACGCGCCTTGGATCAACAGGTGGATTGTTGCAGCAAACTGGCGGTGCACTAGGGCAAAAACTACACTCTAACCTTCACCTGTAGTCATGAGCTTTGGGTAGTAACCTCACAGAAGTGGCTAAACTAGGTTTCCATGATGACAGACAGGTTATGGAGATCTGATATTCAGAGGGAACTTACAATGACCTGCTATTTAGCAGAATTGGAATCAGTTAAGGTGATTCGGGTATATGATGAGGACACCTCCCTCGTCCCGCATGTGGAGGTATTCAAGATGCTAAATTTAGAACCCATTTGCAATCTATTTTCCATCTGCCAAACCTAACAAGAGCAACACACAATCCAACAAAACCCACCATCTCCATTTTCCATATACTTGCTAACCAAAACTTGCTGCCTCATTTGCTAACTTACAACCAGTCCATTTTTGGCCAAATCCACAACCACAGTAAGGATTGAGTGAATGGGTTTTCCAGGGCCAATAGAAAAAAAAAAGTGCAATCAAGGCCATAACTAATATCTGAAATCTGGTATACATATGCAGTAAAAACAAAAATCTTGCCACAAATTCAAACACCACAAACTCCAACAAAAAGACAAGTGGAAATATTTTGTTAAGTTAAATTTTTTAAATGACGATTATCAGATCCAACAATCCATCAGCCTCCTAAAGCAAACGCATAAGCACATGGCACCAAATCCATCATACAATTCCTGTAATTTATAGATTTTTCTGTTTCTACTATCAGACGGTGACAGCTCTGGTGAATACTAAAACACAGACGAATTGGCTTCTGCTCAGGATAGGGCTGTAACTAATAATTATGTTTATTATTATATATCCTCAGTTACCTGCATTCATGAGTTATTGCAGGACTTCTGCAACAGCTAGCATCAATCTTAGCAAATGCACCTTTTAAATTGGCAACTGAGTGTAAATCTCTACCAGGATTGTCCTGAATTATTGGCAGAAGACAACATAGATGCACAAATGCACGACTTAATAAGACACTGACAAACCACTGGTGAGACAGCAAAGTAAAATCTGTGGCTACTCAACGTTAGCCAACAGAATCCCCACATCGATTAAATGCTGGGGTATTGATATCGACTGGTGTGGCCGTTTCTCCGAGGTCCTTCTCATTAGCCTGGAAAGGCCGATGCAAATTTTATGAATATGGGAAAGTTAACGTTAATAATAGAAGACCTGACCGTATAGCATCAACACCTTTTTCCGGACCGACCGGATCAGCTCCTCCGTTCGGCGTTAATCTAGCTAACTTTAGCTAACTGGAGCAATTAGCGCTGAATTGAACGAAACCTTAAGTTTAACTAAAGGCTCATTGCATCGAAAAGCACATTAATTAACATAAAGGTTAAGTGGATCAGTTAGACTGTCGTTCGGATGCAACTGGGTTACGTACTCAGTCGGATTCATGCGACATTCGTAACGTTATGGCGACAGACGCATTGAATTTAGGGATTTATAATATGTTGGCAGATTTGGTTTAAGCCGTGGATACAGTAGCTACAATTTCCGACGGCTAAAGCAGTGGCTCCAGTCCGCCAAATCAGCGGGGCTTATAGCTTTCGGTGTGAGCAGAAGGTGTCGGTAACTTCTCGGCTCTCGGCGGGCCCTAGCTGCTAGCCTGCTAACCTTAGCCGTGCTAACGTTAGCGCTCGCCAGTTTCCACTGCAAAGGTGGAGTTTATCAACGGCGGTGAAGAAACGGGACCGATATTTACCCCCTTGGATGATTCAACGACCGAAATGCTTCCCAATAAGCCAAGTTTCTTCAAGCCTACGGTCCTCGCCTCCCTCCGTCGCCGGTGTGCCTGTGCCAGTGTGTGATTTCTGCTGTATCAGAGACAATATGGCTGACCACCGACACCTACGTACCCGAGGACTGACACGGAGGCCGCCGAGGGACAATCTTCAATAAGTCGCAGACCGACTACACGAGTCACTGAATAGAGTAGAATAGAAGAGGTTCAGTCGTCGTCAAATGTATTCATACCCCTCCATTAAAGACAATGCAAAATTCCCAATAGTCACTCAAATAACTAGGAACTGAAAATAATAATAATAAAATAATTAGAATTTAATTATAATTTAGTGAAATAAGACATTGCTTTTCAACAACAACACTCTTTAAAACAAAAGAAAAGTAGAAAGTAATATATTAAGGAGGTAGTTATTGTGATGCTGAAGTGCAGTCGGGTGGTGTGTGTGTGTGTGTGTGTGTGTGTGTGTGTGTGTGTGTGTGTGTGTGCATACACCTTTATCTTCTTTACAATATGGAGCAGACTTTATAAAATAAAAGCAATTAATAACCCTGACTTTTAATCCTTTCACTTCTGGACTAAGGAACACATAAATATTGTTTTCAAGACATTAATTACTAAAAAGAAGACGTCTCCTACTTCACCATGAAGTCCGTTATCACAATCCTTACTACGAGTGTGTACTTTGAGCTGCTTATTGGACTTAGATGAGAAAACAAGTGCAATGTCACAAATGACGTTTGTACGTGTCTTCAGAGATAAACTGTCTGTCCATGTGTCCTCAAAAATAGTTTGTTAGTTTTGCAATTTGTGTCACTTGGTTGTATGTAACTTGATTTAATGCAAATTTGTTCCATTTTTAAATTTTTATTTTTTAATTCTCTCTGTCCATCACTCATTTCTGAATATAAAATAGATGGTGCTGGAACAGACGAGACTGTTGCTCTGCCTTCTGCTTTAAAATATTTCAAGTGCATTGTATTAGACTGAAACACTCCTCATACATTTTATTCAGTTCTTTAGGAGTCTTCACTACATACATGAGACAGGATTGCCATGGATCTAAACTGCAACTAAACCGTTGGTAGAGGTGTACAACCACAAGGCCATCATTGTAGTTTCCTCTATAACTACAAACATGAATTTCAAAACAATAAGTCAATCAACTCGGAAATATAAATTGTTTTATTTACAAGAGACAGAGAACACACTGCATTCATAGTTTTGAAACAGTCACAAACAAACGTTGCCAATGGATGAGGTAGTGTCGTGTTCCAGACGTCACGCAAAGTCCTTCACTGGATTCAGAAGAATGTTTGTACGACAGAAAATGCCATGCAGTGATCACTTCCTGTAATGATCGTGTCTTGTTTCCAGTTCACATCGTACAGGTATTTTGTATACCACAGTTTTTTCAGTTTCCATTGAGGATACCTGAGAGGTCAGGTCAGGCTCGCCATCCTGTCCGGTGTTGTTGGCCTGACGTACCTGGTGCTTCCTGAACCTGCTGCCTACTTTGTTGGGTTCCAGCCGCCCCTCGACTGAAACATGACACATGAACAAAAGTTTACATACACTTGTAAAGTACATGTATAACATGGCTGTTTTGAGCTTCCAATAATTCCGACAGTTCTTAATTTTCTGTGATGGAATGACTAAAACACATGCACCTTTGTCACAAAAAACAATCACAAATTTGGATTCTTTCATAGATTTATTACAGGTCTTCTGGTGTGTAGTGTATGGCTGAGTCTGTTTAAGTGTGATCAGAGGAGTCAGCAGCTGTAGTCAACTGTAATCACTCCCAGGAAGCTGAGACGCCATGCCACTGAGAAAATCTGTTTAACACAATTTTCTTTATCACCAAAACTGATAATTCAAGTTGCTGTATGTATATTTTTGACCCAGCAGATTTTTCAGAAGACATGTAATACATTTATGAAAGAACCAAAATGCAAAATAATTTTTTTGCAACCAAGATGCACGTGTTTCCATCATTCTATCAAAGAAAATTAAGAGTGAAGACTGTCATGATATACACAGTCTTTACAAGTGTATGTAAACTTTTGTTCACGACTATACCTGGCAGTGGTCTTATTCTATGAGGGTCTCTCAACCTGTGCCCACCTGTCCTCTGGTAGGGAGACTTTGTTGAGGTCCTCTGTGTATCTGGTTGGGTCCTCAAAAATTTTCTCAAAAAGAAGCTTCATCAGGTCACTGACATATTCTGCAAAATACGATATTGACATTTTATATATACTGTTGACTGATGCCACCAAAGTTAGACAAAAAAAACATGAAGTTTACAGTGACATTCCTCCTTTTTATATTTAAATTAGAATGAGTGTGCCAAAGCATCTTATAGTTAAATATGATGCCAAAATGGCTCTTTTACAGTCTACATTTCTAAACGTTGATCTATTTTTTTTCTACTTACGGAATGTAGGCTCTGTCTGCACAGGAGTTGCTATGCATTGTCCATTCTTGCAATGTGGGAACATTAGTCTGCAGACAGCTTTGCCCTCTAAAGTTGTCGACTGGTCTCGCTTTGCATTCTCGTTAAAATGCATGGCAGCCAAGTACAGCCTGGAAAAGAGTACAAGTCTGTTAACTTAATACAAAATTGACTATTTGTTTGAAAAGTTCCTCTCTTTGAAGTTAGAAAAAGGATGGACAATACCAATTTCTACCAATATCTGAAACATCCACCAGCTGCTGCAACAGGATGTTTAATGATATATATTCAAACATGTATTACCTGCACAGCCTCCCAACAGAAGACAAAACATCATTCTTTGGGGTGAAGCCTTCAGTGATGCTGTGGAAAGCCTCTAATGATGAAATTTGGTGGTCATGATTGAGTTTTTCCACATCACGGAGAATTCTTTTGTCCAACAGGAGTTTCTCCACTTTGCTCAGGGCCGTTGAACCTGTTAGACAAAATCAAAGTGGTACAAATGCTCATATTATTCCATATGAATATAATCCTATGAAGCAATTAGTATTAGACTAAAAACACTTGATACAAACCTGGTTGAAACCACTTGTTGGGGTCTCTGGAGACCCTGTCAGGATGAGCACACTTGGGAAACAGCGGATCATCATGCGTGTGGACGTTCTGAAGGTGGTTGACCAGAGACTTCCATTTTGCGACTTTCTCTGCTCCAGACTTTGAAGCTGTGGCCGTCCAGTACATGTGGTTTTTGATGCTAGGCAACCATTTGCGCACCACCAGACACTCCTTGTTCTTAGCCAGGTTTTCTAACTGTTTGGACAAATCTGACAAGACAGAAAGAAAAAAAATGGCACAACTTTGAACATGTTTACTTACAGTTTAATACGACATTCAAATTCTTTAAAAAAAAAAAAAATCATAGGAATTACCTTTCTCAAGGTGCCAAACGTCATAGTATTGGTCGACATTTCGCTCCTTCAGATATTTGTGCACCTGCGCATGGCGGTCAGTCACAATGTAATCCACATTTAAATGGTGTGCTTCCAGGAAATCTAGGCCTCTTCTGAGACCTTCTTTTTCCATGTGTGAGCTGCCACCAACCTCGTTGCTCTAGTGAGAAAAAGAATGACTTTCTCATACATGCATTACAAATAAAGTGCACAGAAGTCTTTCTTTCTGTCAAAAAAAAAAAAAAGTGGAGGTGTACCTGTACAAGCTGAACATCGATTATGTTGTTGCTCTTCAGGTGCATCAGGGTGTAGCTGCCGAATTTGGCGGAGTGTCCTTAAACACAGGAGAAGAATGTAAATAACAACATTGTAGACTTTTTGTGCAAAGCTAGGAGGCATCAGTTGGTGGTCTGTAGGACGACTTTGGAGACCAAGAAACAGAGGAGAGTGAAGACAGAGCCATGGATCTGTTGTGGAACGAGTTCAGGGAAGAAGTAAGATAGGCTCTGGGCAGAAGACGAAGAATGAGCATGTGAGTATATGAAGCAAGAGACAGTCAATGGGAGGACAAGGAGATTAGGTATAAGGTGAAGGGAGAGATGGTAAAGCCAAGGAAAAGGCATATGATCAGTTGTATGAGTGGTTGGACAGTGACAAAAAAGAAAAGTCTTGCTTGGCTGGACGGAGGAACTAAGCTGGGAACCAGTTCGGGTTATGAAGGATAAAGATGTAACATACTGACAAGCAAGGAGGCTGCGTTGAGAAGATGGAAGGAGCACTATGAGGGGCTGGTGAATGAAAAAAAAAAAATCAGAGAGAAGATAGCAAATTAGGAGGTTGAAAAGATGAAGTGAAGACAGTTATGAAGAAGACAAACAGCGTAAAGGCAGTTGATGACATATCTGTAGATTTTCTAATCTGACTGTTTCACACAATCTTCGAGATTTTCAGAAATGAGGGTGACGTGGCATGCAGAGCTGCAGTAGCTACAGAGGTATAAAGCTGAGCAGCTACAGCATGAAGTCATTGGGAAAGAGTAGTGGAAGAAAGGTGATGGTGAGCAAGCAGCATTTTGGTTTGTGCCAGGAAAGAGCACAACAAGTGTGATGTTTGCCTGCAGAGTGCTAAAAGAAAAAGCATAGACAAGGTCAGAAAGAGTTGCAAAAAAAAAGCACATGACAGAGTGCCAAGAGAGGGGGTGTGGTGCTGCATGAGGAAGTGGCACAGAAAAGTGGTGCAGGATTTGTCTGAAGGCAGTGGTGATGTGTGCAGTCGAGGTGACTGGTGGTTAAAGGTGGAGGAGGGATAACACGAGGGTCGGGTCTGAGCCCATTAATGGTGATGGACAGATTGACAGACATGATCAGGCAAGTCTGACTCACTGATTATCGGATGCTGGTATAAATCTGCTCATTTCAGTCTGCTTTGTCCTTTCCTGCTGTTATCTGTGTGTTACTGTTTCCATCACTGTCGGTGACAACCACCTCTGGTTAGCAACCCACCACACTGAAAACGTCAGGTCTAGATGAGGATTTTGGTCTTGCAGTAGGGCAGCCCCGCTAGTTTTTGTGGTGGATTATCCAACTTTAATCACAGTGCTGCTTCCCAGCATGCACCACAGCAATCCCACCCATCACTATTTTGAGCCGCAGCCATATTCTCCACTTAGCTCCGCTCGCAACGATGTGATTATGAACACTGTAATTAGTTTACAGAAATACAAAACAAGCCAGAGTTCTTTTTTTTTCCCCTCCTGTAGCTGAACAATAGCATGGTGCAGTCAGACCATTATGTTCTACTGAACGGGCAAAGCAAGGCTAGGATCAGACAAGAGCTTTCGTGGACTATGATGTTCACACAACCATACAGCTGCAGCAAGAGCAGGTTGAGGAGAGTTAGCAGAAGTGGAGGCATGTGGAGGGAAAGTCAGTAGGAGCAGTGAACTAGTGAAAATACAGGGTGTAGAACTGGATAAGTTTAAACACTACAAGAGGTGAAGAAGACAGTGCAGGCAGGCTGAAGAATGTCAGGAGTGATTTACGATAGAAAGATGCCAGCAAGAGTAAAAGAGATGGTTTATGAGATAGTAGGGAGATGGTACCTGTGACTAAAACACAGGAGGCAGACACAGGGGCAGCTGCTAAGATGCTAAACTTGTGCTGGAAGTGACGAGGACAGACGGGTGTAGGAAAGAGTGCATCAGAGGGACAGCTCAGGTTGAACAGGACAAAGTAAGACAGGAGAAAGTGAGTTGATTTGGAGGAGAAGTGCTGGGTTTACTGGTAGAAGGATGCTGAAGATGGAGCTGCCAGGCAAGTGGAAAAAAGGGCTGGAGGAGGACATGCAGGTGGGTGGTATGACACAAGAAGACAGGAAGAAAATGGAAACAAATAATCCAGAGCGCAGAAATAAATTCTATTTTCAACACATTGATGTTTGACTGGTCACCTGGTGAGTCTGCCCTCATATCTCCACCCACTGCGATTTTGTCCTTCTCCTCTTTCAGATGCTCAATCAGTGTCTGCTGATCCGTCTTCCATTTATGGTTAATTGCAGGTTCTAGAAACATCCTGGCATGCCTCCTGAAGGTGTCATACTGGAACATCCGGAGGTTCATGGCTTTGCAGATCTGACAGCATAGCAGGGCAAATGCTTTTAAATTATTTGCACAAAACGTAAACTCTACTTTGATGTGCACACTGCAGTGTCTCCAGTACCTTCTCCATCTGAATGAAGGATCCGCCGGTAAAATAAACAGCTGCAGACATCTGGAGGTTTCCAACCGGCGTGTTTTCTTTGATCGGTTGACTCTGCCATTTTCTGGTGTACTGGCAGTTGGGGCATCGCTGACTAAAGGACACAAAAGTGCCGAGGCTTCGCTGCTGCACCACACACTCCCACCTGCAAACTGGACAGGTCTGGAAGAGGTCTCTCAGACTGCTCTCAAACACAATGTACTTCGGATCAGTGTAATCACAAGCGGACTCCATCCCACTGTGGGGAAAAGGACAAAAAGAGTAATAACTCAGTGAAACAATTCATAAGATGAAATGTTAAAACTTCAACGGGCAGTTACCTCATTTCAGAGTCACCCAGATCATTTGTGGAATCATGTGGATGAGAAAATGTTTCTTCATCTTCCTCCTCCTCCTGCAGTTCAAGACGAGGTCTCTTTGCTGGTCTGACACCCGGTGAAGGTGCAGAGGTCTTTCCAGGTGTGGAAGACAGTTTTAACCTTGTGTCTTGTTGGGGGTTCTCTGTGTCAACACTGCTGCAAAGTGTGACCTGTACACCTGGTTAGAAACAGAAAAAAATAAAGTTTTAAGATGACAACACAGTGATTTATCTTTATACACTTTAAGTTTCTAAACTAATATGATTTTTTTTTCTTTATCTCCATCCGCTTATATTCCAAACACACCTTTGCTTCTCACATGGTTTTTCAGCGTACTGTAGGACAGCTGCGTTCCAACAGAAACCATGTGATGGCAGAACTGCGTTGCAACGGAGACGGTAGGTAGAGGGTCGGTCTGGCATCCTGTGTGTCTGTAGTGGGTTGTGGGGGTCTGCTGGGATGAGCTCTAGTCGGAGAACGACAATAAAAAGAATTACTTCAACAGTAATGGTGTGTTTCATTGCCATTCAACTTGCTATGCATATAAAAAACAACAGTGGTGGATGGAACCTGAGTACATTTACTCACATACTGTACTTAGGAATACATTTGAGGTACTTGTATGTTATTTTTGTATTTCTATGTTGTGCAACTTTCTACTTCTACTCCACTCAGCATGGAGGCACTCCAACTGCTGGGGAGCTTTAGTGACAGTATATTAATGCAAAAACATCATAAGTAGGGCTGCACCATACTGGAAAAAAATCAGATCTCACACACACACACACTGGCCACTTTATTAGGTACCCCTGATGAAATGTCATATGTAAATGTAATAATATATATTTAGGAAACTGGAAATGATCAATCAAGTGTTAATTTACTTCTTCTCACTTCTTCTCAAATATGTAGATCTAGTCCAGAATTGTGGAGTATTTCTTTTGCTGTATATTAAAAAGACATATATATAAACTATAAATGTTTCTTTAATCATACATCACTCTCTCCCCACAATCAGCCAGCATGCAGACTGCCCAAACAGAGTCAGTGGAGCCTTGGACCAGCTGTGTGTGGACACCAGGATGCATATTACTTCATTATTGTTATTTTCTTGTACTTTCTATATTTTTGGATGCTGCTGTGGCGTGTACATTTCTCCCAATGGGGGATCAATAAAGTATTCTATTCTATTCTATTCTACCTGTCTGTACATATTCAAAATAAATATCTCAGTCAATCTTCCACATGTTCATAGCTTGTTGACGCTGTCTTAAAGATAATAAATCAACTTCTGATGTATTACGTTTGAAGGTGTTCTTATTAGTTTGTCCACTACATTAACATAGATGAGCAGAGCAATGCATTAGGAACACTATTAAATGCACTCCAGTACACCACATATGATAAGATGAATTTATGGATGTGAATATGGGGCTTTAACTTGTCATGGAGCATGTATATATTACTTAAACTAACAATCTGACTTCTTCTTCCACCACTGAGGGGGTTTATAGGTTAAGTAAGACACAAAAACACACTGAGAGCATCTCTGCAGCTTTTCTAACTACAGAACAAGGTAACAGTGGCTTTAATCCAGTCAATGAAGAACAGAGCAGACTCCGGTCTTCCCTCGACCTCCTCCAGTTGTTTCTGTTTTTAAAGCAGTCATGTAAAATGTTGGAGGGACATGAAGTCACTTATTCTGTGAAACCAGCACCACGGTTTGGGGCAGACACGGTGGAGATGAAGACATGCAAACCACCGTTAGCTCCCTGAATCCCTCCGGCTACGTTAAGCTACCGTGTGCCCGGAACGCTTCTACCGAGACGCGCCGCTTACAGCCAGAGCCTCGGACTCCTGCACACGACCCTTCACGGACGGAACCGCTCCGTCTCTGAGCAGCAGCCGAGCCGAGAAGCCCGCCTCATACTGGGCTCTGTTGAGGAAAGCGTCCTCGGAGAAGTGTCGCGAACACAGGAACCAGTTCGCCGTCGGCTGCTGCTGGCCCGCGAACAGAAACTGGACCCAGTACTGTCTGGTGCTTTCTTCTTTAGGAGAGGCGAACAGGTTCAACTTCCCCTCACAACCGAAATAGCACTTTCTGCGAGACATCCTGAAGCATCTATTGACACGGAAGTCTGCGGTCTGTCTGCGGTACACCTGCTGCTGCTGCTGCTCAGGCCGCCGCTCAGCGACCACCGCCCCCTGCTGGTCGGAGGGCGAACTGCAGTTTGTCACTCAAACCAATTGACTTACTTTCTTCCAATTTTAGGAAGTTGGTTCCAGATGAACAGCTTGCTGACTGTGATTGTCTGAACCAGTCTTAGATGCTTGATCAAATGAGAGAAGTTGTTTGTCCTCTGTCTCAAAAAAACAGACACACTGTGGTCATAAAGGGATGGACATGGTCAGCAACAACACTCAGGCAGGCTGTGGAGTTTAAATGATGCTCAGGTAGTACTAAGCAGCCCAAAGTGTGTGAAGAAAATATCCCACACACGATTACACCACCAGCAGCCTGAACTGTTGATACAAGGCAGGAAGGATCCATGCTTTCATTTGTTTACACCTCTACCATCTGAATATCACAGCAGACATTGAGATTCCTCAGACCAGGCAACGTCTTTCCAATCCTCTGTTGTTCAATCTTGGTGCTAACTGTAGCTGCAGGTTTCTGTTCTGACAGAAGTGACACCGTGTGTGGTGTCTGCAGCTCATCTGGTTGGACGTGTTTTGCATTCAGAGATGGTCTTCTGCATAACTTGGTTCCAGTTGTTGCCTTTCTATCATCTCTAACCAGTGTGGCCTCTGACCTCTGGCATCAACAAGACATTTTTATCAAGAGAGCTGCAGCTCACTGGGTCTTCTTCTTCTTCTTCTTTTCTACCAGCAGAGATATCTTTTGGATAATAGTGTGGAGGAGATTGTCTGGAATGTGGCGCAATATCACGATGGTGGAAGTGTTCAAATACACCTAAACAGGGTCTCTCAATGTGCCATTCACCACAGCTCTCTTGCTCACAGCTAATACAGCTCATACATTACACATATCCAGTTTATCTATCTGTACAATCTGACTTTACCACTAAACAAATCGTGAACGCACCTCGGACGATCCCAGACTCTGTTTCGCAGGACTTTGGTGCTTGATGTTGATCCATTTTCGGGCGCAGCAGCCGTCATCAGTCGGAGTGGATTTGACGCATATTTTTAATCTGGAAGCGGTACGAACCATTGACATGGACTGAACCACTGCAGCAGTCCTTTCTGCTTCACATGAGCTTCTGTGATACCGGTTTAATACAGTTCTGCAGGAGCTACATACCGCTAGCAGGTCTTCTCTGGTGATAATGAGCCCAGTGAGCTCCTCCAGAGCCAAAGTGTAGCACGGCTTCGGCTTCTGGGTGCTGATGATCAAATTATGTTTGTTTCTTTTGTCGTTAAAAGGCTTATCACAAAGTCGGCAGACGTCTTTTACCGGGGTTTCCAGCGTTATCATTACCGGGGAAGTAGCCATGGTAATGATAAAATATCGTCTCTATACGTAAAACAGTTCCACAACAACAGGTTTCCCCCCGACGGTATTTTTGCAGTGACACTCACAGCTTCCGGTTCTTAGCCCCGCCCAGGACGAGCGTGTTTGGGTGAAAGGAAACCCAACAGTTGTGTCCCAGTTTAGAGGCTGCATGTCACTGCTTTACAGGAAAATAAAACAAATAATAAAAACTAAAATTAAAATTAAAAAGAATAATAAATCAAACAATCAGAAACATTACAGAAAAGCTGAAGACAGTTCACAACTAATTAAAACTGATTAATAAAACAGCAGAAAGGAAAGCTGATGAGAATTTTTTTAAAGTACTTCATAAGATAAAACTGATGAATTAATAGCAGTTGGAAGAAGAAATAAAATAAACATGAATAAAGAGGGATTTTTTCTACATATAGCAGGATGAAAATGAGGTCAGACCATTCTGGACTGCAGATCAGAAAGATTAAATTTTGCAATTTATTTTGACATATTTCAGACCTAAGCTATCATGTTGTGAAGTGAAAGAGTCACTTATTCAACCAATAAGCCAGGGTGTGAAAATAGGTGAAGAAATGTTTAAAGATATGACTTTGTAGAAGTTTGCTCTGGCTTCATAACGGTATTTCTTTGGCATGTACTCATACAAAACAAGCATAATTACATCTTTAAGTCTTTAAAAAAGTCCCTCTAAAGAAATGCTGGGATTTTGAGCAAACTGTACTCCTGATTGGTGCAAGAGGAGACAGCACCATACACAGCTGAGAACATGTTAGTCATCTCTATGTCCACAGGGGGGCGCCTCAATATTCAACAATCACACAGTACGTTCTTCAGTCTGGTCATCTTTGAGCCTTAAAGCCTTTAGAAACACATAACAGTACAGCTACTAACAGGATTCTCAGACATCGTAGACGGTCTACGATGTAGGTCTACGGTAGACCTGCTTTAGGAGCTAATAGCTTACTGCCATTTTAAATTTTTTTCTCTCTGTAAAGGTCCACTACTGTCAGGCATCATTAAAATGTCTCTTCTTTATTTCTCATATTTTCTTCCCCCATAAAAGCTTAAATTAACTCCTTCAATGTTTTTTAAAAGCACCCCAATTTTTCCTTCTCACAAATTCTGGACCATTGAGTATGTTGATGCTGTATTTAAGGCTTTAGTTACTCAAAGTCAGACCTCTCCTACTTCACCATAAAGCAGGTCCATGATGTCACAACACTTACTGTGAGAGTGGACTTTAGCTGCTCATTTAAGTTAGATGAGTTTAAAAAAAAAAAAGACATTTCAGACATGAACTGTTTGTCCATGTGTGGTCAAAAATAGTTTTAATTTTTCACCCAGTTGTATGTAATTTGATTTATGTAAATTAGTAAACATTTTTTAATCCTGTATGTCACCTTTAATTTGTAGATCCTCCTGGAACAGATGAGTCATAAATCTGTGGAGACTTGTTCTCTGCATGATTCTGTCCAGCTGCTCTTTGCTAGATGGGTTTTGTTGCTCTACCTTCCACTTTAAAATATTCCAGATATGTTCTATTGGAGTCATTTCAGAGGACAGACGTGGTCATAACTCTTGAGTGATTGGTGCAGTGCCTTTGGGATCATTGTCATGATGGAAAATTTCTCTCCTGCTAAGCTTCTTGAGACTGGGAGTCTCAATCTTGTCATTGTGTGTTTGAACCTGATTCCAACACACTCCCATCTCCATGTTTCACTGTCAGGACCATGCAGTCACTATGGTGGTCCTGGCTGTTCCTCAGACTACGCTTCATGTTTTCTGGCATCTTGCAGTTTTGTAAGCAATTGATTTCTTCTTGGACAAGGCCCTTAGAGGTTAAATGTAAAACTGTCTGAGCATCACTGAAAAATGGTTTCTACAGTGGTCTTTGTGCAAAGTCAGCAGTATTTATCAACTGTTTTTCAATGCAAAGTTGCATAAACATTGGACCTTGTGTTTTTGGTAGTATAGCTCTTGTAGTACCACTTAAACGATGCTGCAACTGTGTATTTGTATAGCTGCTGGTGCACCTGCTTCCACGTTTAAAAACTTGTTTTTTAGTTGTTGCTTCTCACGCTGAGGAGCTACGATGCATCAGAGCTTAAACCACCGAGGCCAGAACTTAGAAAGCTGTGGTTCTCACAGGTTCTTTTTACAGGTTCAGCCTGAAGATGGTTTTTGGAGGATTTTGTCTTTAACTGACAGGGAATGTGTGGAGAACAATCAGGGGAACAGGAAGTTTGAGTCCAACTGGCTGGGACTCTGAAATCAAATACTCATTATTTCAACTGAATCATTTAACATTTTAGTGACAGAGAGTTATTCATTAGTTCATACTGTGCTCATATGTGAGCACATTCTGAAAGAACATTGTAATTAAAAGCCGACACATTTAGTGGTACAAAGAAAATCTAGGGCATGGGGATGTGCCGCAACAGGAGATGAGACATGTTCTGATTTGGTGCTACATAAATTAAACTGAATAGCTGCTGCTGTGATGTCACATTTATAAAATGTACACAGCTCCAGTTTGGAGCCTCGCTACTGATCCAAGTTCAAACCTTGGAATAGTTCAACCTTTTAATGCAAGAATAAACTGTCTGACTTAAAGGTGTGGTCAGTGATGGTCCCACTGCCTTTCTGTCCTGTGCACTAACATGCACAACCACGGACATGCACAGGTGGAATAGTGTGGATCGGTCCAAGTAACTTTGCACACTCACTTTCACACCTACAGCCAATTTAGAACCACCAGTTTAACCCACCATGTAGGTCTTTACAAGCCAAAGACTCAGGGAGAACATACAGGACCTTGTAGCTGTGATGCAACAGTTCTAACCATTAACCACTAAATTCTAGCTTCCTACCTAATACCTACGAGGCTATATTCTTAATATTATCAATCAGCTCCATACCTGAGAGGGCAAAGAATCCGATGAATATGAGCTTTAAAATGTTGTGTTTTAGAAAATGTCACATTAAAGTCTTTGGTTGTATGAACAGATCAAGTCTCTGACAAGAACCAGGTAATATAATGTTGCCATAGATACAGTCTGTGACAGCTGGACTACATGAGCGCTGTTGGATTTTTGTTTTGGAACAAAGCACGACAAAATAGCTATTAACAGTTCATCACTCAGATACTTTTGAACCTGAAGAAATCTAAAAAAAAAAAAAAGATTCTTCAGCAAATTCTGGATCGTTTTGTTTTGTTTTTTTTCTATCCCAATATACAACTTTGAATTATTTTTAAATATGACAAACTCATCTCATAATCAGGATAAGGATTGTGACTGTACATCAGGATCTGTGATTTTAACTGTTAACATTAATTCAGTGTAACACACATTAACTCAGTGTATGTAAGCACTGGGGCAGTGATATGAAGCTTGATGATAGCGGCTGTAAATAGTGGACAATCGTCATATCTTTACCACTGAGCAACCTCACAGGCTCTGGTGGAGTAAGGGCCTAAAACACTTGAAGTTTTCTCTCATTTTTATGTCTTTGTGTGTGCAGCCACTTAGATATTATGAGATGAGTGACATGTTTGAAATGGCAGGAGCCTCATTCTGGCTTCCTCCGATGGGAAGCAAAGTTCA